CAGGATAATATTCACTCTGCAGTGTGAAATCTGCTAATAGGTTTGTGTACTCAGGAATCAGGTCTGCCTCCAGACTGAGTCTATCATGGGTTGCTGTTACCAGAAATAACCACAAAAAAAAAAAACCCAGAACCAAACCATTCTTTGCAGGGAGTGTCAAATGGACATTCTTTAAACAACAGCACACAATGCCAGTTTGTTTTCGTGGTACCACTCTCAGAATAGGGTGGAGTTCAGAAACAAAAAGATCTGTCTGACTGAAGCCGAGTGTGTTTTGGATCCATCTTCTGTATAAGAAAGGCCCCCCCCTATGGCTGCTCCTCTGCATCTCTGCCAAACAGCACTTCATGTCACAGGGAGATTTCAGTGCAGTTACTGCCAGAAGAAAGTATCGCTCCACTCAAGGGAACGCACTCAAATCTGACTAATTTTCCTATCAAGCTACTAACATCTACTGGAGCTCTTGATCTTTCTCTAATGTAACTCATTAGTGACTTTATTTTTCTCTTCCTCTATTCCATTTTTTGTCTTCTATGCAGTAGGCACAAAAATACAAAGTGATGTCAGCCTGAAACAAAGCATTTCCCTAGAAGTATATTTAAAAGAAAATTATTTCCTTTTGTAATTCAGGCAACTATCACATACAGCAGCTTCTCCACCAAGCCAAATTTCACAAGAACTCCTGTTAACAATGCATATTTATTCTACTTTTCTGTCTTTTTTTAATTGTAAATACTCATTCTTCCTCTTTAAAGCATACTCATTAATCTGTTTGTCAACAAATTAAATGCTATTATCTTGCCAATGCTATTGTACTCACTTGCCTAAGTGCTCTGGTGCCTCCCCATGCACTCTGAATGAGGATGCTGAATGTTCATTAATACAGAGAGTTTCTGTTCCAAACAAGACATAAAACTGAGCCAAGAAAATTGTGACGTGGCAGCTGTGGGTGCTCACTGCTGTGAGATTTTAGGAGATGCCCTAGAATGGTTTGAAGGGAAGGGTACTTTGTTCAGACAATCCAGAAGGCTAAAAGGGGTGTGATTTGTCATTTATCCAGCCCAAGCAGTTTGGACCTCTCTGGTGCTGAGGAGAGACTTAAACACTGATCTCCCCATTTGGATGAATGCTTCTGCTGCTAGGATAGGAAAAACAGCCCTCATGGCTACTACTGAACTCATAGTGGCTGGAAATGCAGTTTGGAAAGAGCCTGGCCATGGTCTGGGTTCTGGATCAGGCTCATGCCTCTCTGTGGGTCTCCATGTGTGCCAAGGTAGAGATCAGGACATGTAACAGAGTGCAAATATCACACAGTGAGGCACTGTGTGAGTTTAGGCACTGCCAGAGTCATCTGGTATCTAAGCTGGATTCAAGGATGTTAATTTTGGACTTCAGCATTGAAATTCCAGCTGTGTCCTGCTTCGGCTTCATGCCTTTCTGGATCTATTCCCCTGTGCCCTCATCACAGCCAGATCAAATTGATGAACTGCTCAGTGATTCAGCCTGCTTTAACTTTAAGAGCTAAGTGCTTTTGCCATCTTTCAGCAGACAATCCTGAAGTTAGCACTGCTTCACCATCTCAGATTGAGGCCTTGGTGATTGAAGTTTTTCTTAAGTACTTCACCCATTCTGTGTTCCACAAGAGTTGCTGACATCCACTGGCAAATCTTTTTTATGACAGGCTTTTCTTAGTTATCAGCTTTAACCTCAGGAATCTCTCAACTGCTCTGGAGTCAGGTGCAGTGAGAAAAGACTGGAGATGCAAGTTGAAGTCATGTATTAAATAAGATAAAAAATAAAATTTGAAAATAAAAGTGTAAAACACAACTGGAAAGTCAGCTTTCGTGTATTACCACCAGTTTGATACTCTTTGCCCTTTGGCTGTGTGTTCCTAGCTCAGATGAGTACTTACTCAGTAACTGTGCCACTGCAGCTGCACGCTGTAAGAAATTTCATTGCAGTTCTCAAAAGTTGCTTTGCCTTGCTGTCTTCTTTATTAAAAAGAAAAAGAAAAAGAAAAAAAAGGGAAAAAGGCTTTAGGGAAGTAAGAGAAGCTCAGCAGTTTTCTCAGGAACATCAAAACTAACATTTTTTCAAGATCCTCATACATTTTATTCTTTACCTGCCTTGACTGGTTGGCTATTTCACACAGTAATTATTTTCACTATGGAAAAGAAGTGCTTCTAGCTGTGTGCCATGTGTTCTGTTTTTCTGAATGTTTCTGGCATTGTCCCCTAGCCTATCATTATTAACTTCATGTTCCGTTAATTTTACTCATCTTCCTTCTAGCCAAGAAACCTTCAGCACCCACGGAAGAATTAGAAGATGCCAGCTTGCCAGCATCTGAAGACAGTCCACAAGCCTTACTTGCATCTGAATCCACAGATTCCCCCCAGAAACAGACAGAAAGAAACCCAGCACAGCTTCCCAGCCCTCCACTGCTCCCAGCTCCACCACCTAAGGCAATCTCCAAAATCACAAAGAGCGTAACAGGTCAGTCAGGACTGGTCAGTAAAGACTTTCCCATCCCTTGTGAGTTGTTCGCCTACACAGCACAGTATGTAATTTTTCTCTTACATCCTTTTTTTAAGCCTGTTGCAGCAAACTGCTGTGAATCAGGCTAGTTATACTGCATGAAGAGAATGCTAAGGGTTTCCATTAACTGAGTGGTCCAGTTGCTGATAACAACACCCTGATCTTTGTACTTCATATATGTCAGTCTCTCAGACTATTTGTTGTGAGTCTATTACACTAAACAAAAGTAAACCAAATCAAATCAACTGCAAACATGCTGGATCAGATGCTCATATTGATATGTCATAAAACACAAGGAAGATTTAAATGTTTTCATTACCTAGTCTCCCAGTGATGACAGTAAAACCCGGGTAACTACAGACCGGTCAGCCTCA